AACAAAACTGTTGTTGTCAGAGCTCGACAAACTTTTCGTCTCTTTCATAGATCCATATGCCATTTTGTTTGCTTACGCTTGTGACTTTTGTGCGAACAGGCCGCTCTGTTCTCTCATTGGTAAATGTTGCTGATGTGACAGAACACATTGTAGAAGGCAGAAAAAAAACATGCTAGACCTTCATCAGGAGGTTGTGAGGAGTACCAGATGTCGCCTTGAGTTTCGTTCAATCTGGCACACAACACAGGCTAAAACAACCTGGTCCCAAACTCTACGTCTGACTGATTGTGTTATAATCATGCTTATAACGTGTAGTCTGACCTCGCATTGGGTGTCACCTAACCAAAACTAAGCTCATCTGCTGCATGGCTTCAAAATAACACATTTCCCTCACTGAACAGGCAGTAAATACAGCTCTGTTGTGTCTTCAGTAGTAACCACAGGAAGTCAAACACTAGGCCAGCCTTTGAGCAGGAAGTAAATCTGTTTGTGATCATCTGCAAGGTCCAAGTCTTAACACCACCTGCAGTTCAAACAAACAGCCCCCATCACATCAAATCAATGAAACTGTAAAGATTTCTGCTGGCAGCCTCAGACACTGTTCAAGCTCACTGACAAGCCCAGGCAGGTGTGTGACCCAGACTGTGTTATGACTGTGAGAGTCAAAATAATCAGTTCTCTGTGTGTGTGTGTGTGTGTGTGTGTGTGTGTGTGTGTGTGTGTGTGTGTGTGTGTGTGTGTGTGTGTGTGTGTGTGTGTGTGTGTGTGTGTGTGTGTGTGTGTGTGTGTGTGTGATCTGTGCATCTGGAGCAGTGATTTCTTGTAGGACAGATGTGCTTGAGGCCTTCAGTCTAGAAATATGTTTTGCAGCTGTTGGGTGAAATATTGGACTCTAAATTTGTCAGTTTCACTTCCGCTCACAGATCTTTGGATCTTATCACCCAAACTTCAATCAAAACTTTATGATCATCAGTTGTGCCTGTAAAATGTTATTATATTTTTTCCCAGGCACACCTTTTTAATTGCTTTGCTGTTCCTCGATATTCTTGAATGAAATGATTGCCATTTTGGCCAAATCAATATCTGCCAGAAAACAACGACATAAAGCCCCTGTTGTTATCATTACTGTCACACCCCTCCTCTATTTTTTCTTCTACCTCCGACAAACACATTTTCTCATTGATCCATGAAACATATTTGTCTTAAAGGCTGTAAACGCAAAATCTGAAATTGTTCTTGAAACACACTATGTTGTAAAAGGGTTTCTGTAAACAAGTGGAAAGACAGAGAACTTTTTTTAGACTGAATAATGATTTAGGCTTTGGATTTAAGTTTTTCATAATTTTAAGGCTCAGGTTTTTGTTGGGGGGGGGGGGGCAAACCCCTATAGCAATAGAAGTATATAAAAGCAATAGGCTGCTATTACACATTGTTAAGTTATTTTGCATGAATAAAGAATAAGCATTATGTTGCAGACTGAGAGGAACTTGGTAGACTCTTTGAGGTTAGTGTCCTCAGGTTCAGAATCTGATCCTGACTCTGGAGGTTCAGACATGAAGGCCCGGACAGATCTGATAGAGCAGCCAGAGTAACCCTCCAGGTCAGAGTCAGGTCATAGCTGATATCCCTGTGTCTATGAGGCTTCTTCATAGTGGCAAATAAGATTGGATACATACTGGACTATAATTTATTTTTGTGTTTTTGCACTGGTATGTTAAGAACTTGATGTTATTTATATTCTTCATTTCTTTTCTGGACATCATTTATTGTGATTGTTGTATTTTTATGACTGCAGCGTGGGTGAAGACAACTGTGTCACTTTGTGAGACAATAAATTAATCCTGAATCTTGGACTTTACACTTTGTGATTTATTTTCATCACTGCAAGTTTTCCTCTCATGCACATTTTCTACCTCTATACAAGCCTCTCCTGCATGACATGTACTATTCAGTGGGCAGTTTGGCTGTCAAAGCCCAGGAGGAAATAAGTAGAGTGCTACTGCTGATCCCATAACCCGTCTGACCCAGAGGTCAAACTGAAACCTGAGAGATTCAGAAAAAGGACGTTTAGGGGAAGCCTGCAAAGACTGCATGTCTACAGTGAGGAATGTGATTACATCTCACTTAAAAAGTAATACTCTAATCGACAAAGCTTGATTCAAAGATAGAAGAAAAACAGACTCGTCAATTTACACTTTTTTTCCATAGCTTTCACCTGTTCAACAGTTTGTTCAGCAACAAAACAAAAAATCAAGTACAGGAAAATGCTACCTGTCATTCACTTGTCCATGTATTTATTTAGGCGATTAGTTATCATCCGATGATTCTCTAAGATTCAACAGATTACATTTCTATTCAAGCATTGTTTTTATCTTATTGAAAGTATTACCGGATAGCAGGCTCATCTTAATTTGGAATTTCCAAATTCAAGGTTTATTTTGATATATTTGTCGTTTTTTTTCCTAATTTATTAATCCCTGAGGGTGCCTTTTCTTTTCTGTTTTTGTCATTCTTATAGGCCCAGATTACACATCTGCAAGGACAGGACCTGTGCTATAATGTAGACATGTGGGGCTGCTACACAGGGAGCGCACCAGAGCTGTTGGGCGTTCGGTGCCTTGCTCGAGGGCATGCTCTGCAGTACTTGGGAAGTGACCTGGCACCTCTCCAGCAACCAGACCAACTTCCTCTTTTGGTCCCCACAGGGACTTGAACTTGCGACCCTCCGGTTCCCAACCCAAGTCCCTAGAGACTGAACTACCTATTTCTGAATATGAAGAGAAAAAGGAAAAAAAGACAGAGAGAGCATAAATTTGAGACAGGCACTGAGCCCGCTGGTTCCCCTGAGTTTGTTTTCACACACACTATTCCAGTGCCAATAGTCAGTCAGACTATAATTTGTCTCTCTGCACAACCCTAGTGTTATGGATAAAGTTGAGGGTGTGTGTATTTATGTGTTTGTGGAGGAGGTGGTTAAAAAAATTAACGATTGAAAGATGCAGAGATGAAAAGGTTCAGAGGGAAAGACACAAACTCCATCTGCACAGCAGTCTCAGCATGTTCCAATTACAGCAGCTTTGAAGCCCAGTCCAGCAGGACGTTTCTGTTGGAGAGCAGAGAAGAGATTTGAAGGAGGAGAAATCTGGGGCGCCGTGATGGGCTAGTGGATATAAAAAGCAGGCCAGGGAGAAGGTGAAAGGGTTGCTGTTTTCTATGAGAGAGGGGAAGAGAGTTGAAGGCTGCAAACAGACGAGGGAGAAGGGCCAACGAGGGCATTAACAGGTCGGAAAGTGAGAACATTGGAGCACGAGAGGTCGCAGGGTGATAAAGAAAGAGACGGCAGCACGCTACAGTGAACCCTTGTTAGAGATGATCAATCAGCCAAACTGAGCGGAGTTAACAAGCAGGGGCCCAGTCTGCAAGTTCAGTTCCTGCCCTAATAATCCTCAGTAAACACACACACATTCACAACACACACACACACACACACACACACACACACACACACACCCACACACACACACACACACACACACACACACACACACACCCACACACACTCCCAAGTGAAAAATCCAGTGTGCTTTTAATTTACTCATACGGAAACTTGAAAATCAGCAACTCATTCCAACTTGTTGCACTCAAGTTTCTGCTGCTCATCAAAACTGAAAAACTCTCATGATGACTGTGTACATTTAAAAAAAAAAAAAAATCAAAGATCACCTAAACGGTTTTTTTCTTACTGGTGACAAAGTCTCCAGATCCACTTTGAGGCCAAAGGCTTAATCATGACCAAACATATGATAAACATAAAATTATAGTCATTATAAAAGACACAGACACCTCCTGTCATTATAGTGAAATAATTAATCAGTCTTAAAAAGTAGAAACAGAAAAAACAGTACAACATATTCTTAAAGCTCCTGCGAGGAACTTTCTGTTTGTGTTGATTTTGGCGCCTCCTGTGGACAAAGTCATATCAAATCTCTTTACAGATATTATGCATAGATATAGTGTACCTTTTGTAAGAATGCAATATTTTGTTTCATTCAAACAAATGACATAAAAGCTGTTTTTACACATACACAAAACTTCTGAAAATGTCCTGAAATGTTTGGATTGATTCTGAAAATGTTTGCCCTGAATTTTTCCTGAACTTTTCTCTGCCAGCACCAAAAGTAAAATATCCACTTGTATGAATGCAGCAGGTTATGCTCTGGAGGGATCGAGCGTGAGGGAGTGATGACATACTGTGTCATGAAGTGAACAACAGGTGCAATTGTCATGTGGGTAGGAAAGCTGCTTTATGCTCTTTTCTGCTTGCCGGTACGTTCTTTGCTCCGCACTCCTACCATGGTTGTGTCTGGTAACACATGGCATTAATTTAAAGGCACTACTGTCATCATAGTGTTGGACTTTGCTTTTACCTGCCATCTTGGATATCTTGTAGACATTATGACTGAGACATATTTTTAACGTCATGTCCAGCCTCCTGAGAACATTCTACACTCTGAAGGACAGCTGTGAATAAAAACTTTACACAGTTTCTGTCCTGGTGTTTGTGTGAAAACAACTCATGAGTGTGCTTTCGAAGCTAGCCCATTGCAAGAAGTTTTGCAGCCAGCATTTATGCCAATCTTAGCTACTCATCTTTTGTCTGCATTATATTTAAAAGGAGGAGGCTGATCCAGAAACCCAGCAAGACATAGGCTACTTTCAAAAATATTGCACTGATTTTGGAAGCACAATACTCTGATAATTTGACTGGTCTTTCATATCTGGACCAAAGTGCTCACACCAGGTCACCCACCTCTCACCACAGCCACAAAACTGCTCTCCCTGTGTGAAACCAGCTCTCTGAAACAGAGCCGGTATTGTACTGTTAAGCTGTGAGCTTTCACCTACTTCCACTTTTGCAGGATACATCCAAAACTGCCATGAAACAGAGACAGGACCAGAATTTACACATAAAAGTCAAAGAGGGAGCTTTGCAGTCTCACCTTGTGGTTGAGTCCTCTTTTCCTTATTCTTCTGGCATCACTTCCTGTGGACAGGACCAACAGGGACAGAAGCAGCAGCAGCACAGAGCCCGGCATGGTCTCTGTCCTGCACCCAAAACTCCAAACTGTTCCTCTCGTCTCTTCCTGTCACAACAAGTGTTCCTTACTCCTCTCCTTATTCCAAAGTTTGTCCTTTAAGTGTTAGCGGGTCCTCTGCTGTGTTGCTTTTCCAGCTGAAGCAATAACTCTCCGGTGCTCATGTGCAGCCAGAGATTACACAAGCCCTCTCCCTGCACCAGGACCTGCCTTTTTTATCCGCCTGAGGAAAAGTACAGATCAAAATGACAAAGTAGAGGGAAGGAAGGGGAAAGTACAGAGGGGATGAATGGAGGCAGTGTAGGTAAGAAATTGAAAGAAAAAGGAGAATGGTTAGGGGAGCAGGAGGTGGGGAAGGGAGAAAACAGCAGCTGTCTGTGCATCAGTTGCTGAGAGCTGAACTGTGTGCTGGCAGTGAACGCACATGTCTCTGGGATGGGGGGGGGGGGGGTGAAGGAGGGAGGGGAGAGTGTTAGAGAGGGCAGTGTGTGATACCTCCCCTTTGCCCTCTCCTTGCATCTACCAGCACATCTGGTGATCCTTATGTGAATTTGACAGAGCTCTGTCAGTGTGCAGCGGGGACATATTTTATTTTCTGGGGTTTTTACTTTGCATGTTTTCATTGCGTGCGGTTTTGTAGGAGGGAAAACAAATGGCTAATTGTTGGGTTTGAAAGTAGTTGTTGACTGCTAGCTTAAGAGTTGAAGCGTGCATGTAGACCATATTATTAACTGTTCAAGGTCCGTGTTTACATTCCTGATTTCTCTCAGTGATTTACACACCTGAATGTGTGTGCATGTGTGTGTCCGTGTGTGTACAATGTGTTTGCAGAGGATGCAGCGTTATTTCAGTGCTACTGACCCTGAAAGAATGAGAGTATGTGGCGTTTCAGGGAAAGGGGCCTCTCTATCTCTTTCTCCATCTTGTGCTTCACTTCTCTTCCTTTTTACAGGATTCCCCTCTCAAACTAGGACATTTTCTCCCCCTCCTCACCCCTCCCACCTTACCCCTAGACCCCCCCCCCACTCCCTCCAGTCTCAGTGTCTTGCACTGAAAGGGAGAAAGAATGCTAAGCCTGCACAAATCTCGGTCATTATTAGTTTTACAGGAGCAGGGCTCATGTCACTGGGAGGCCCTGGCTTCACTTACACAAAAGGCAGAGTAAAGAGTTAGAGCGGGAGAAAGGAGAGAGAACAGAAAGGGGGTGTGTGTGTAGAGATGGGGGGGGGGGTAGTGGAATAGATTGCATGAATGAATATGTGGGAAAGCACAAGAGTGCAACTAATTAATGTTTTCTGGTATCATTATAACGATGCTGATGTTCTTAAAAGGACCTTAGGAGCAACATTGTCAACTTTAGCCCTTCAGACTGCATTTTCGCAAAAGTGCCATAACGAGGCTCAGGGGTCATTACGTCTTTGTACATTCATATTCACAGTGTGACATTAGTGTCCCAGACAATTATCTCACATTCCGTTTTTAACATTTCATTAGACCAAAACAGCGAGATCTCCAAAAACACACAAAGTCAAACAAGAACAAACACAGCGCTACGCTCCCCGGTTGGCTCAGCTGATCCTGTCTCACCCCTGTAACATCTCTGTTACCTATGAAGACGGTACAGAGGGGGGGGATCATCCCACCGTGACATTCAGATTGAAGGCGAAACATTACAGGGATGTAAAAAAACGTGCCTTGAAACGACAGTCTGAATAGGGCTTTTGTTAACTTTGCAAGAGAAAAGGCTTCAGGATGAGTGGTTTTAGGGAATTTGGCGCTTACAGCCTGCCGTTTTAAGGCAGAATACTTACATCCCTATTACGCCTCACGTGAAATGTGCTGCTAATGTGGTGGCGGCGTCGTTCTTCCCCTGATCTGCCATCACAAGTAGTGACAGAGGCATGATGAGGGGAACAAGCTGGCTTTGTGAAACGTAAAGGAGCTGGCGGGGCAAAACAGCAATGTGTGTGTGTGTGTGCGCATGCCTGAGTGTGTGTGTATGTGAAGCTCCCACTGTGTGCTCACACGCCATGCCCCTTGTGCTCGTCTCTGCATTCTACAATGCGATGTGAATTCACAAACTGGGACAACATTCAGATGCTGTTTGGGATGCAAAGTGTAAGAACAAAGGTGTAATGATGGCAGAACTTTGTTATGGTGCTGTTGCAGAAACACAATCTGTAAGCAGCTATTATCTTAGCTAACATGTAACTCAACAAAATAATACTAAGTTCTTAAATAACTGCTCCCCATAGAAGAAGCACATGATTGGTTTGACATAGCCAGACATGCTCAAATTTGTAGTCTGAGTTTGAGCAGACAAATCTATCCCTTCAAGTTTTGTGTCAGTCTTCACATAGTTAGGAGGAGAAAACACTAGACATGGAAACTATCACTTATCAAGTATCACTCATACATTTACATTTACACAGAATTAGGAAAACTATAGCTTTCTATTATTATTTCTACTTAAAGCTTTCTAAAACAAAACTAACACACAAAAAACTAACTGCTGGTTCAAACATTTCTTGCTCAAACTTACTTGATGTTAGGTTGAGATATTAGATTACCAAGAAAATATTGAAACAAGTTGTCCAATACCACTTTGCTATAATCTTTCATAATCATCATGCTAAAGATTATCTGAGCTTTTGCAAACCAACAAAAGAGAACACAACACAAAAAAGTAAAAAATCATGTTCACAATAAAGGCAAACAATGTGTGTAAGATAAAAGATTAGCCTGGTATCATCAGTTGAAATAAGAGAGAAGCAAAACAAAATCTGGACTCAGCCTTGTGTTGTGTCATTATACCACACCCTGATCTTTTCCTCAGTCTTCCAACAATTAATGGTCTAATGGGGAAAATGTCCAGCTGCAAGATTTCTCATCGTAGACAGTGCGCTAATATTCCCAGACATGTTCTCAAATACATCATCCATATCCTGTCTCCTCTCTAAATCTGGAATGTATACATGAATATTAAATACAGCACACAGCTGTATTCATGAACGGGGTGAGGGGGGGAAACATTCACACATTCTTCAGCCTCATGCACACTCGTATACTGTACATGCAACGCACACATAAATCCAAAGCAAAACCAAACAGCTGCATTTAGCCTGGACCAAACATCTAGCTTAATTTATGCATAAGAGAGAGAACAGGAAAAAAAAGAGAGAAAAAAGTCTGCCAAAAGACAATCAGTCTTTATTAGAGACAGAGATTCTTTTCATCTTTATTGGGCGTTCTCTGTAGGCAGAGACACATTGGAGCTGTTTCTGCAGGGTGGAGTTTCAGAGAGTCTCAGAGGGCCTCATATGACACGCTTATACTCTGCGATGGTCCAGATTAATTCCAGTCTGATTCATGACAAAATAGTTGATAGCTGTCCAGGGATGGATGTGGCTCAGTGATCAGGCAGCTCCCCAGCCACATACGACAATTACACATTTTGTACAACTGGATGGGAATTTATGCGCCGCATGTGTTACATAATAAAATCCAGCTCCAGCATCTGGACAGAATATGAGATCTTCGTAGACTGACAGAGGTTTATGCAAATCTGTTTAAGGTATTTGGCTTCAGTGTCTGCGTACTCAAAACATTAATAATGTGTTGTATGTTTAAATTGATGCATTTATTGTATCGCTGAGTAGAACAACTGTAGTAGTTGCTTCTGTTAATTACAATAGATCTAGAAGAAGTAGAAGCTGGAAAACTAAAAAAAAATCATCATACAAGCAGCTTTCTAAAACTCTGTACATAAGCATGGACGAAGTCTTAGTGCAGTCACCAAGTGGTTTCAGAAAGGCTCTTTGAAAGTTCATCCAAAGCGGTTGAAATATCGGAAATGCTGACTCTATCAAACTTTCTGTCAATCTTAACAACGCCAAGGGGGTGGAGCTAAGGTGGGCTTAGAGCCTCCTGACAAACTACAACAACTACAATATGTCCGCCTGCAGTCAGATCAATCATTCCTCTAATTAAGCATAATTCAAATCTGTCTTAAAGTTATGAAGAAATAATGTTAGCATTAAAGATTATTTTTGCTCATAGAATGTTTTTTATGTTGCTTCCTCTGGGGACCTTGAATTAATAAAATTCATTTTACAGTTGTTGATTTCAATCCCAAGGTGGTGCTAGAGGTAAAGTCAAGTGATTTCCTTTCTTTCCTTGTAACAAAAGGTTTGTTGTTTCTTAGGGGACTGACTTGAGAGTTTCACAGGGTGCCTACACAATCTGATAGTAGACAGTCCCTTCTATCCGTGTTGTATACTGTTAGGACCTACTCTTCAGTATGCCACTATTTGTTCCTACTTCTTCGAATTCATTCAGTGTGGAAGAAGAGTCATTACCGCGCCTCATGTTACTGACACTCCAACTCAGACGTGATAGCACGATGCTCAATAAATAATACAAAACTTCACATTGCATGTAAACAATTTAACGAGGTGCGTTACCCGAACCGGCCGCATCCATCGTTGTTTCTGTTTTTTGCACATGAAAAAATTAATTTCGCGCAGCATTGCGGGTCTCAAAAGACAATTAAATTCCCGAAAGGATGCATCCAAACCATACTGCACAAAACCCGAGAGTTAGTATCCATGCTGAAATGTTCAGTCTACTGAGGTGGATGCAAAAAAATGCCTACTGAATAACCTTGAGGGTTGAGGCCCCCTACTGAACAGTCTGCACTCCATACTGAACTTTGGCTTCTCAGAAAGGGCAACAGTCTGTGAGAAATGTTGCCTGGAGCACAGTGTGTTAGTGTGTTGACTTTAATAAATAAACCTGTAAGCAAGGTGAAATTCCTCAGCTGTGCTGTAAAATAAAGACAAAGAACATTTGTCATAAAACGTTGGCTCAACACCTGACCAACAGATGGTCACCAAGGAGACACATTAGCAGTTCAGGTAAAAATACATAATAAAAGTATGGTTTATAGATTTATAAATGAGACTGCAGCAAAATAAACTACCAAGGTGAGCAGGACAATAATCATTTACTGATACTTATTAGCACACTTCTCTGGGGAAACGCTGCCATGTCAGTGTGCTGAACCATGAAGCAGACGCCTGTCAAAGACATGCTTTCAAATTAGAGCTGTCAGCTGGGGTCAGAGGTCAGCCTGGAGAGTCAGAGGTTAGCTGTGATTGGTTAGTGAACCACGCTGCTGGATTTGGAGAGGTATAAAAAGTGTGCTTACTGGCTGTAACTTCTAAACACTTTAATTCTGCTTTTCCAGGAAGTAGAATCAATAACTGTAGAAATGACTTGTTTATACTACGTCTGTGTTCCTCTTTCTGGGAATCCATTCTGCAGTGTTTTGCCAAGAGAGAAAGGACTCCCATCTCCATAGTTTATAATGAACTTGTATGGTCTTGAAAAAGCGACTCTACAGTA